AAAAAGTCATTTTTTAGTTAGTTTTAAGGAACTGAAACCGAACCGATCAAGAACTAGTTGTTCAGTTACTAATCAATATAACTGCTTTAGCTGGTGAATCCATTTTTTCTAATTTTTATAGATTCGATTTAAATAGTTTAATCAGTTTGTGTTCGATTTTGCTCTCTCCTAGACTTATTAATGTATGAGTTCAATATTTTATATTTAGTTGGGATCTTATTTAGTTGTTTTCTATTTTAGGTTATTCCAATTAATTAGCTTCTTTTCCTAGTTGGTAGATGTCCTAAACAAACTTAAAAACTTTTATTTTGATTGATTGTAATATGTTACCTATAAATAGAGTAACCTAGTTTACTTATTTGGTAGCTTATGCATATGTTCATTGTATAAATATTGAGTTTGATTTGTTGTTTTTGTTTTTTTTTTGTTAATAAGAAAAGAAGATTTATTAAGGATGGAGAATAAAAGAATACAAAACTGAATAAGGCAGCCTCCACTAATACGCTAGAAATATAAATGTCCCAGTTTCAATGTAGGTCAGAAATGCTTATTATAAGTATATATGTGACTTAATTCATAAAGTGGCAAAAGAGTCATTACGTCCCCCAATTCATGTGTCGAAGTAGGCTGGTCGTCAAGGATATGACAATTTCTAGCAGGCTGTATGCACCATATCCTGTAATGAGTTTGATTTGATTATTAAAATCGAGATCTCTAATTTTGGTTCTTAATAAATTTTTCTGCAAATATCATGCTCAAACTTTCTTTGTCCTACATCAATAGGTCACCAAAAAAACATAATCATGTTATGCTAATCAGTTGTAATTTAAATTTTCAACTTAAAATTCAAATGTACATCTTATCTAATCTTGCACTTATCTTAGCCTCTGTATATAAGTCTCTATACAATTTCACAATGACAGAAATGAGAAAGCACTCCATTGAAAAGTCTTTATGGTCATAATCTATGTATATATATTTTTTCGTAATAGGAGCAAACAAGATTTTAATCTTGCAAGTACCTTAGACATTATTAGGGTATTAAGAAATTCTAGTTACTCATGACAGGAAATGGAAGTGTGAAACAACTTACTTTGTATGCACCTTTATACCAATCTGCTATGAAAGGTGACTGGGAGATGGCAAAGAACTTCTTAAGATCACATCCGGGTGCAATAAATGTTAGGATTACGAAGGCAATGGATACAGTTCTTCATATTGCAGCTGGAGCCAAGCGGACAAAGTTTGTACAAGAAGTGGTCAAATCGATGAGTGTAACAGATTTAGCGTTAAGGAATTCATCTGGTCATACAGCACTTTGTTTTGCTGCTGCATCAGGAGTCACTGAAATTGCCAAAGTGATGGTGAACAAGAACAAAAGTCTCCCTGGGATCAGGGGCAATAAGGGAGTGACACCTCTCTATGTTGCTGCACTGTTTGGACATCGAGAAATGGTGCATTATCTCAATCATGTGACCAGAGATGAAGATTTGACACAAGAAGATTTAATCGGATTGCTTATTGCCACTATCAAGACTGATCTGTTTGGTAATATAATCTTATATTGAATGTGGTTGCCTGTTGAGGAACTTTTGCAGAATTGATGTCTGACTTTCTCTAATATTCTTGTAGATATGGCTCTAAGCATAATTCAGAAGTATCCAGAATTAGCTGTTATCGGAGACTCAAATGGGGAGACAGTTCTTCATGTTTTAGCCCGGAAGCCATCAGCATTTTCCAGCAAAAGTGGGTTAGGGTTCTGGCAGACTTTTGTTTATCAATGTAAGTGCCTTTGTTGGATATCTTACTATAAGATTGAAGTCAACTTCTTGCCTTAAATTCCTACACCAATTATCTAAATTAAAATTTTTCCCATATCAATGGTCATTGGTGGCCGATCATGATAGCACCCTGACACAGGCAGGTGATTGCCCATCGAACTTTAGTGCTTCCTTTGCTTGATTGACAACCAAATTCATATCCTAATTTGCCATCTTGGTAAACTCCTTGAACATTGGTAAATTCCCTTTTGAAAATTAATATACTTTCTTTCAACCCCTAAATTAATTTCATGCAGTTTCCATTTGCCAAGTAATTTAACATTTCAGTATTCAATGTAATGTTCAATAATGATGACAAAATATTCGTCCAAAGTAACTTTATTAGAGGTACTGAATGTGTTTGATTATATGAGATTTTTGCTTAAATTTTTTTCTTCTGAGGATATGTTTTGGCATTCATGTAAATTTTACAGTCTGATTCATTGGAATATTAAAAAATGATTAAAAAATATTTGTTCATATCACGTTTTTTAGCTGAATCTTTTTGCCCTTTATCGGCTTTCTATTAAGTAGAAATAATTCTGATTTACATCCCTAAAAATATGTTATTCTTATATGAAATAATACTCTAAAAAAGGAAAATAATTTATAGTATAATTACAGAATATTTAAATTAAAATTGTAGAAATATGTATAATTATTACATTCCTAAAATGTACATGGAAAATATTAATTCTCTAATAAGCTGTCCATATTAACTCTCTAATGAGCTGTCCATCTTGCTAACATCTTCCCTCAAATTGATGCTGGTTGATCAAGAAACATCAATTTGCCAACTAGGAATTGATGACGTTGCCTAGTCATGGATTTTGTAAGTACATCAGCTATTTGGAGAGCACTAGAAACATGTGAAAGAGAGATGACACTAGTATCCACAGATTCTCGTATTGAATGATAATCCACTTTGATATATTTGGTATGCTTATGAAAAATAGGATTGATAGCGATTTGAATAGCATTTGTGCTGTTTGCATGGAGAGAAGTAAGATTGGATTGAGGAAACTCAAGTTCGACAAGTAGCCCTCGAAGCCAAACAATCTCAGAGCAAGCTGCAGACATGGCTCGATATTAAGACTCGGTGGAAGATTTTGAAACCTGATCTTGTTTCTTACTCTTCCAAGATATTAAAGAATCTCCAAAAAATAGACACTAGCTAGTGATAGAACGACGAGTATCAGGATATTCAGCCCAATTAGCATCACTAAATGCAACAAGACAGATTGGAGAACCAGTCGGAAAGAATAAGCCGCGACTAGGTGAGCCTGTAAGATACCGAATGATGCGACGAACAGCTGCCAAATGCAGATGGTGTGGGGCTTGGATAAATTGACTGACCTGTTGAACGACAAAGGAAATATTTGGTCGTGTAATAGTAAGATAATTCAAGCTTCCAATCAATTGCCAAAACATAGTAGGATCAAGAAGAGGATCCCCTTCCTCACGATGATATTTCACATTCAATTCTAATGGAGTATCAACTGAAGAAGAATCTTGAAAGCCAACTAAAGCAATAAGATCTTAAGTGTACTTGTGTTGATGTAAGAACACATCAGAAGAATCAGAATGAACCTCCATCTCAAAAAATATTTAAGAGAGCCAAGATCTTTCATACGAAAAGAATCCTAAGATGTTTTTGGAGACTAGTGATCAATAAAGAATCAGTTCCGGTGATAACAATTTCATTTACATATACAAGAAGAAGAACACAATCCGTAACTGTTTTGCGAAGAAACAAAGATGAGTCATATTTATTCTGTACGAAAGAGAATTGGAGCAAAGTAGTCTGAAACTTGTCAAACCAAGCTCTGGGAGCTTGTTTCAGGCCATATAAAGATTTTTTTAATTTACATACATTTGATGTAGGTATAGAACAAACCAGGTGGAGGTGCATATACATATCTTCTTCGAGATCACCATAGAAGAAAATATTTTTTACATCTATCTGGTGAAGCGGCTAGCCTTGTGAAGCAGCAATGACAATAATAGTTCGCACAGTTGTCATTTTTGTCACAGGTGCAAAAGTTTCCTCATATTCCACTCCATACTCCTATTTGTTCTAAAAAACAATTAAGCAAGTTTTATATCGATTTAGAGGTCCATCTGAATGAAGTTTAATTGAATAAACTCATTTACATCCAATAGGTCGAACAGATGGAGGACAAGATACAATGTCCCAAATATGATTCTTTTGGAGAGCTTGGAGTTCCTCCTTCATTGCTTTCTGCCAGCACTCATGCTTGACAGCTTGTGAATAACATGATGGAACAAAAATAGAGGACAAAGTAGAGGAATAACCATATCAATTAGGAGGACGAGATACTCTGGTAGATCATCGACTGATAAGCTCTGGAGGAATAGCCGCAGAAGAAATACTAGAGATAGGTTCAAGAGCAATCTCAGATGGCGGAGTAATTTCAGAAGGAGTAAAGTCAGTTGACGTCGTTGATAGATACATCCAGGTTTGAAACACTCAAAAGATTGTGAGTCCCCAAAGGTACGAAGAAAAATACCAATAAGAGATGACTTCACATAGGTAGAAAAAAATTTTGATTTTCAAAGAAAACAACATTCCTAAAGATACGAAATTTGTTAGAATTAGGATTATAGCAAACAAAACCTTTTTGTGAAGTACTGTACCCCATAAAAGCACATTTAGCAGATTGAGCAGAAAGTTTATGACGCTCATGGGAAGACAAATGTACAAAACAAACACAACCAAATGTATGTAAGTTATGATAGGTAAGATGTTTACTATAAAGACGATAGTAAGGAGAGTCAAGTTTTAATACTTGAGATGACAGTTTATTAATTAAATAAACGGCTGTGGACAAAGCTTCAACTCAATATTTTGATGGAACAGATGGCTTAATTAGTAAAATACGAGTTACATCTAAAAGATGTCGGTTCTAATGCTCAGCAACCCCATTTTGTTATGGTGTATATGGACATAATTTTTGTGAAATAATTCTCTTCTCAAATAAAAAATTAAGAAATTCATGCGACATATACTCTTCACTACAATCAGATCTTAACAGTTTAATACGTGTAGAAAATTGAGTCTCAATATAAACAAAAGAAGTTTTAAAAACATAGAACACCTCAGATTTAGTACGAAGAAAATATACCTAAGTAAATCGGCTGTAATCATCTATAAATGTCACAAAGTACTTATACTTAGTATGAGAAATAACAGATATAGGGCTCCAAATATCATTATGAATAACATCAAAATATTTTGCAGCTCACTGACCAATAGATAGAAAATGAAGTGTTTTACTCTTACCTAATTTACATGTAGAACAATCAAAAGAAATATTTGAAAAGATTTTTATTACCAAACAAACCAGAATTCAGCAAATAAAATAAAATATTAAAGTTCGGATGTCCTAAACATTTATGCTATATTTCACTTTTACTGTTAATAGTGGTACAAGCTAAAGATAAGGCGGGAGAAATGAAAAAAATGAATAAGAAATAATATCCCGAGTTTAGGCCCCTTCGTGATTGTCGTCCTCGACACCTGATCCTGGACAAGACAACCATTATGAGAAAAATGCACAACACAATTATTATCTACCAATTGACCAACTGAAATAAGACTAGCAGACAACCTTGATGATATAAAAATATTTTTGAAAACTTAATTAATATCCCCAATTTTAGTAATTGATAAAATACTTCCATTAGCAATCTCAATTTCTGATGAACCATAATACTTATGAATATTTTTAAGCACACGAGATGAGTTGGCCATGTGATATGAAGCAGCAGAATCAACAAGCCAAAATTGAGATTTAGTATCGTTACTTTGTAGACCCAAGATTGAAAAAGTTCAAACAATCATTTGTTGTACTATTTTAGGAGTAACTACAACTGGTGCAGGTGTTGATGGGGTTATTGTAGGATTTATAGATACAGCTGGTGCAGCAAATTGATTGTTGATACTTGCTGAAGAAAAATTATTTAAGCCAAGCTTGAAAAGCATTGCCTTTGCGATTTTGTGGGTGTGTGGGACATTCTTTGAGAATGTGTCCTTGTTGCTTATAATAATTGCAAAACTTCTTTCCATAATTGGTAGCAATATGATCATAGTTTTTGCAACTGTAACATTGTGTTTTGCTTATATCTCTACTTTTCCTTTTTCTTGCGCTGCAAAAGCAAGATTGATGGTGTTCTCTTGCTGAAAAGTGGGTTGGGTTAAAAGACGTTCTTCACGAAGCAGTTCTCCAAAGCAAACATCCAAGGAAGAAAAAGGAACTTGATTTATCAAGTTTGAGTGAATATTCTCAAAATTAGGCCGTAATTTCATCAAAAATTGATCTTGCTTACTCTGTTCATGAACCTTTTGAATCATAAATAGAGATGCATAAGATATGTCAGCATAAACAATATCAGTAAATTTATTTCAAATTTCAAAAAAATAATCTTGAATAGAAAGACTTCCTTGAGAGTAATTAGCAATGTCATGCTCCAACTGAAAGTGTCTTGCACTGTTGTTTTGATTGTACACATTTTTGAGATAATCCCACATAGCTTTTGCATTCTTATATGGCTTTAGATTAAGTACAATAAGAGGATCAACTGACCCTAAAATCCAAGTCATCACCCTAGCATTTTGACATTCCATTGAAGTAACTTTTTAGGATCTATAGGAGCTGGATCGCTTCCATCTATATGACTCCATAATTCTTTTCCTATACAAATAGTTGAAACTGAAAATTCCAGGCAAAGTAATTTTTTCCGGTGAATCGAACATTGAAAAACTCGAACGTAATCTTTTCGGGAATCATCTTTTTGAAATAACGAAAGAGAATAAAAAAATAACAAAGATTCCAAGACGAAAATCACAAAGATAACTAAATTTTCAAAGCATTCAGAAGAAAAACACAATTGAAAAATATCAAAACACTTAGGAAAAAAACATAGATTCAGGCTCTAATACCATATCATGTTTTTGAGCTGAATCTTTTTGTCCTTCATCAGCTTTCCATTAAATAGAAATAATTTTGATTTATATTCCTAAAAATCTGTTATTCGTAGCTGAAATAATACTCTAAGAAAGGAAAATAATTTACAGCATAATTACAAAATATTTAAACCATAATTATAAAAACATGTACAGTTATTAAATTCCTAAAATATACATAGAAAATATTAATTCTCTAATGAACTATTCACCTTACTAACAGTCCAAACTTATTAAATGTATTATATAAATTGTTTCTAGAGTTCTGGTTAAATAAATGTTTACTTTTGAGAGTTTTAAGTTGTATAGTTCTATGTGTCAGTTGATGTATGTATTGCTATTTAAACAAAATATAAAAGAAAAGAGTGACTTTTTAGATTGTGAATTTTAGTCTATTCAATGTAATTTTTAACAATGGCTACAAAATATTTGTCCAAACTAATTTTATTAGAAGTACTGAACGTGTTCGATTATATGAGACTTTTGCTTAAATTTTTTATTCTGAGAATATGTTTTGGCATTCATGTAAAGTTTAGAGTCTGATTCAATCAAATATTAAAAAATGATGAGAAAATATTTGTCCAAACTTATTAAATGTATTATATAGTTTGTTTTTATACTTTTTCTTAAATATATGTTTACTTTTGAGAGTTTAAAGTTA